GTCCATATCTCTTTTATGCTAGTCGCTGCTGTAGCAGGGGCTGGGATACAATGGTAAACAAATTAGTTAAGGTCGATGCCCTTAGTTTAGTGAAGGGAGACAGATGATAAACAGATAAACTAGGAAAATAATTTCTAATAAGGTGGTAAAAGGAAGGCAAGAACGGGCAATATGTTTAGGGACAATCTCTCTGAAGGAGTGATTTCAAGTGGAGAACATTTTTTCTAAAGACCTAATTCTCTAAATATCCAAGTTACAAATAAGATATTCTTGGTGAAAATGCAGTTATTTTTCTGGGGACCTAGGATAGAAATTAGTTTTATTATAGGTTCCCTTTATTCTAGAGGAAATAATATGAAGGGTTGTAGAATGTACAGGTTTTTTTTCCTGCAGATGGCTCTCTGCCTTATTCATCCTTGAGTTAACACATTAAGCATCATACAGAATTTACCAAGGAAATTGTTTGAGTCTCTGCATTTTTATTGCATGTTTTTCTTAACTCTTTTGTTGTGTTCCCTTGCTGTAATTCTTAATATATTACTTCTTCTCCCAATAGCTGAGGTCATACTCTCCTTACAGATCTAACAAGGAGAGAATTATGACACCCATGAGTGTTAAATATTTAAAAGATCCCTTTAAATCTTAATTTAATCAAGTGCATTAAAATGGTCCTGAAAAAATGCTAAAAAGCATTGAGAATTTCCTGTAGTATTATCCACACAGAGTGACACATGGGCTGGCTGCTAGAAGGTATATGGGTTAATATTCCAGGCCTTTGTGACAATGGCCTTGGCAGTATATTGTGAGGTACAGTTAGGAGAACAGTCCCTTATATCTTGTGTCCCTTTATTTTCTCATAGATCCTTTTATTTGCTGACTAACATAAGAATACTTCTTACGTAAGGGACTTGTTTACACTTTTTAAACTTCAATTCCCTCAAGTTGTTTAAAAATTGTTGGGGTATTTTTTTAAGTGTTTCCAAAAGCCACCTTTGGGAGGCTTATTTCTTTCTATTTTTTCTCTCTATTTTCTTTCTATTTTTTTAAGCGTTTCCAAAAGCCACCTTTGGGAGGTCTTATTTCTTTCTATTTTTTCTCTCAAGGTATTTTGTGAAGTTGTGCAAGCACAAGTGTGTGAGACATACTTTCTTATTTTTTGATAAATTTAATAAAAATTTATATGAAGTATAAATATTTATTCTAATATCACCACATATTGGGACCTAGCTTTAGTCAGTATTTTTGTACAACATAATCAAACTGTAATGAAAATTTCTGGGTTGTTGTTTTTTAATCCTCACCCTAGGATATGTTTTTATTGATTGATTGAGAAAGAAAGAGAGAGAAACATCAATGTGAAAGAGAAACATCGATTGATTGCCTCCCACGAGTTGGGACCGAGGATCAAATCCTCAACCTAGGTGTGTGCCCTGACCAGGAATTGAACCTGCAACATTTTGGTGTACAGGATGACACTCCAACCAACTGAGCTACCCGGCCAGGGCCAAATTTCTGTTTTGTTTTGCTTTTGTGTAATAATCTTTTCTAACCCAAGAGCATCTTGAGGGGAGGACTGTTGGATATTCATCTGTTTATTCAATAAGCATTTATGGAGCACCAACTATGTGTCCACCAACTCTGTGTCAGTCTAGGTACTGGTCATGTAAGAATGAAATATACATATGCATGCAGCTCATAGTCTAATAAAGAGATAAACATTAAACAAATAAACATTCAATTTGTATTTTGGTAAATGTTATATGAAATAGGAACCTAACATACTCTAGGGAAGGCAGTCTGAGGAAGTGAAATATAGCTGTGATCTGGAATATAAATGGGAGTTATCTAGGCTTAGTAATAGGAAGGTCATCCCAACATGCACATGCTCTCCAGTGTGGAAGAACCTGGTAGGTTAAGGAGCAGGAAGAGACCAGTTTGGATGCTGAATATTGAATATGGAGGAAAATCAAGTGAGATATAGCTGAAGAGGTATATAGGAATCAGATCAGGTAGACCAGGATGTGGATTTTGGATGTAATCCAAACATCAATAAGAATCTATTGCTTAGATTAGACTTATGTTTTGAAAATGGCACTCTGGTTGCAAGTAGAATAGGTTGAAATGAGTCAAGAATGGCTACAGAAATGTTCCAAGGAGATGATGATGACTTGGATTAGGCCAGTCACAGTAGTGATGAAGAAAAATTGGCTGGCTAAATAAATATGTAAGAGATTGAGAATCGATTGGAAGTTGAGGCAGAGTGAAATGAAAGAGAAGAGATGTCAAGAATTATTCCAGGTTTCTGGAATGGAGTGTGATGTAATTTATTGGAATGAGCAGCTCTAGCAGAAAAGAAGGTTGGGGGACAAGATGATGACTTCAGTTTGAACATGCTGACTTTGAAATGCCTTTGAGAGATCCCAGTGGAGGTGCATTGGAGTTGAATGTATGGAGTTAGAAGTATTGGTCTGGAACATAAAGAATGTCGGGGCTATAGTCTATGAGCATGTGTAGCACAGTTGATAAATGGAGTGTTGAAATGGATAGCCCAAGAACAAAATGTGGTGCTCTGTGACATTTTAAGGTTAACTAGAGGAGGGAAAGCTGGCAAAGGGAAATTGTCAGAGTATGATGTCACCAAAGCCAGTGGACAGTAACAATTCAAGAAGGAGACAGTGATTAATAGTACCAAGATATCTAGTGTAATGCATACTCTGCAGTGTATGTTGGGCTTAATACATAAAGGTCATTACTCACCTCAGAAGATAGAATGATGTGATTTGAGAAGCAAGATATGAAGAAATAAAGATAACTTCTCTGAGAAATTTGTCTATGAAGGGGGAAAGAGTGAACAGCAGTAACGGGAAATATGGGTGCCAAGTAGAGTTTTAAGCTTTTGTTTTCTGTTTTTGTCTTCATTTCTTTTTGTAATTGGAGAAACTGGAGTAGGTTTAAATGTTGGTAAAAAGGATTCAAAAGTCCAGGAGTGATTAGAATATCCAATCACCTAAAGATCCTGGAGAATGAAGTAGCTATGACTCAACATAAATGGCGATTGGAGAGGGAATTGTTCCTGCATTGTGATGGGAAGGAAGGAGGAAGATGGTGCACAGGAGGGCGATCTCCTGGTGTCTCAGTGAAGTAGCAGGCAAACTCAGCTACTGACAGCTGAAGGGTGGAGGTTGGTGGAAGGTTTGGAGAGTTTAGAGGAGTCCATGTGGTATTGAAGAGAGGAAGTAGTTTTGGTAACAGTCTGCACTGTTGTGTAATTTTTCCCAGGAGAACTTAGTTGCACAAAACACAGAGCAGCAGGATAGTACATTTGATCCATGGTTGGCTTCTACCACCCCCAAGCACTTGTGATAAGGTCAGAGAGGGAAGGGAATTTAAGTTATTTGCAATAGAGGGTCAAATACTGGTTGATAGAATCTAAGATGAGGGAAGGGAGTTACGGTAAATGGGGATTGATGACTGATGGTGGAAAAAGAAGGGAAATTAGTGGCCTGGGAATTCTAGTGGTGTTGAAAACATCATCAGGAATTGGGTGGGATACCTGAGCAAGAATTCTGGAAGGACAAGATTTTGTAGTTAGATAGACTGTTTGCATAGTGATTTTAGATGCAGTGTCATTTTAGTGCTGACAAGATCCAGAGGATTTTACTTGTGTTTGGCCCAGATGGATTCAAGGAAGAAGCCACTGGAGATGAGTTGGTTAATGATCTGTGAGGGCAGCAGATTAGATGCTATGACTGTGCATATTGAGATGCCTCGGTATTGCTGGAGCTGGGACAGAATGGAACACAATGAGTGAGGGCTGCAGTCTTCTCTGAGTGGCCTGGCTGGCAGGCAGACAGGTGTGAGCAATGAGAGGGCCAGTGGTGAGGGAGCCCCACGGAGTCAGCCTCAGAAGAACTGGAGTATTGAAGAACATGAAAGAAATGTGGTCCAGAAGAGATGCTGGGAGGAGAGGGGGGCCCTGGCTTCCCTGCCAATTCTGAGACACATGGGGCTGAGAAAGTGAACATTTTCTCTGGAAGAAAGCTCAGAATGTACTCTCTTCAGGCAGCAGCCAGACAGAGTTAGAGTGGGAATAGAGAAAACATGAAATGAGGACAGGAAATGGGGAGCTTGCACAGGAAGTGGAAGTACGAGAGCTGAGGAGAGAGAAGGAGAATGTGGGACTGTCAGGGAAGTGAGACCCAGATGTCTGACAGTAGTGGGTAGAGCATTCTAGGAGCTGATATCTGTGTTGGAGAGAGGGAAAATGAGGGAGAGCAGACTGAGGAAAGTCTCAGAACAGAGCAAGGGGGTTAAATCCTGGTAATCTTTAGAGATGAATTGTTTCTTGTGCTTGACAGACTTCATCTCTAAAGTGGTTATATATAGTATAGTGTGGTGTGTGTGGTGTGTATGGTGTGGTGTTGTGGGTGTGGTATGTTATGTGTGTGTGGTGTGTGGTTGTGGTGTGTGTGGTGTGTGGTATGGGTGGTGTGCATAGTGTGTGTGTGGTATGGGTCAGGCAGTTCTTCAGATAGCTGTGACAACTGATTGAGGAAGCACATGTAGGGCCCCATTGGTTCGCTGTCTTTGGCATGCACAATTGCTCACCCTGTTTCTGTCTAGCATTTGGGGGTGCCTTGCTGTGGTCAGTGGGAGTAGTATAATGGGAAACCACAAACTAGACGTCACCTCCTCACATTCTCACCTCATGGCTGTATTGCTTTTGCCAGTACTATTCTCTGAAAGAGATAATGAATATTCTCACACTGTTGTTTTTTTTAAATAATTTCTTCAGTGTTTATTTATTTTGCTCTGCCTCTGATATTAGTTGCTTTTAGTGTTATCTATTACAGCAATGATATTTTCTGCTCAATCATTTTATAAAACATCACAAGTACCCAATACATGTTTTTAATTTATAAAGTCTCAATGAATATCATTTACATATTTTAGTCTTTCCAGTTCTTCTTTGCTAAGGGTGTTTCTTTTACTTCCTGAAGGAGCAAACGATGTGAAAATCCTGCCAGGCCAAGCTGTCTGTCCTACTCCAGGCTGCCGAGGAATAGGCCATATCCGGGGCCCACGGTATTCAGGACATCACAGGTAAAATATTTTCTTCTTTAAATTTTTTCAGAGATGAATTAAAACATTATGCAGGCTATCGGCTTTTGGTAGCATCATCAATGACTCGTGTGAAGCCAGACATCCCCCTATCGTACTGCCTTCTCTGTGCCTAAAGCCCTTCTTTGACATTTCTTACTGTCTGCTCACCTCTGCCTTCCCAGAGCCTGCTGGACCCCCGAGGTCTTGCCCAGACCCACATCATTTCCCAGTGCCTCTGCTCTCTAACTGATTCCTTAAGCACACCCTCCATAGGATATACTTACCATCTGGGTCCCACCCCAGTCCTGAATTTTCTTCAAACAGCTGCTGCATCTTGCTTTCTTTAGAGAAATTCCAGAACCTTTTGTCTTTTCCCCTCTTGTTCTCACCTTGCCCCTATTTCTTTTTCTCTATTTTTTTATGCATTTGGAGATGAGATAATTCTTTGCTAGAATGGAAAGTAATAAATGTGGAGTTATATTGCAGAATATACCTGTGCTTTAAATGTGTGATAACAGTATTGAAAATATGGTGCTTATAATGAAAAATACATACAAGTAAATGTATATAAGCTCTTACTGCCTGTTTTGTTCCCATCAATTGGTAAAATGATAGATAGATGAATTACCTAGTTACAGAATATCTAAATTAAAACGGAACAGAGCTGACATCTAATTTGTCCAGCAAACAGATATCTTGCCTAAGAAAATATAGAGAAGTATAAAGAGAAAAGAATAAATCATATAAAATGTGAAGCAAGAAAACATATGTTTGAATAACAGATATACAATAGAAGTCCTTGTTTGATGAAGTGGTTGCAGTTCCGAAAACCTGTGTTTGAAACAGTTCTAAACAAATCAAAACAAGTATTCGTGTAAGAAATAATGGTAAACACTCCCAAAGAGCCTATGTGAATGTTATATATGTAAATGTAATATTAGCACTTAAAAAGAAGAATATCATATAGTATCCATAACAAATAAACTGAATATCTACAGATACCTTTGTTACATGTTTAGATGTGTAGGAGTCATGGATGAGAGTGAGATAGACCTGGTAAAGATGCTGTAGTTTTATGAGGGGAGGAGGAGAGACAGTAAAGGACATGTAGAGGATGGAAAAGAGAGAAGCGATCACATCATTGGGAGGATGGTCTATATTAGGTGAGGACCTTGTTGGACTTGATTGAACCACTTTCCAGACCACTATGGGGTATGAGGCTACAAATAACATTCCTCGGGCTTTTATTTTGTGTGTGTGTCTTTGTTTTGTTTTTAAATCTAGAACTGCAAAGTCCAATATGGTAGTCACTAGTCACATGTGTCTGTTTAAATTAAACAATAATTAAAACTAAATAAAATTAAAATTTAGTTCCTCACTTAGCACATTTCACGTGCTCAATAACCACGTATGGCTAGTGGCTGCCGTACTGGACAGCAGATAAAGTTCCCTAAGGGAGTTTACCATATTCTGCCTTCTCATAGTAGATTTTTGAGTGCATGTTTTTCCATATGAAACAACTGGCCATCTTAGTGCCTCTTCTCAACTTGAATCAGTATCCTCAAAGTTAGCCAGACCATCACGTTGCAGTTGGCCTGTCCATTAGCACTCTCTGGAGTTTTCTCCTGTAGCTCTGGGGCTGGAATAACAAAAACCACCCTGGACAGCTCCTAAAGGTTGCCAAAGTAGCTTACTCAAGGCCTCTTCCACTTCATCACAGCTGTTCTCACACTGTTCTCATGTGTAGCTCATTCTCCTTTCCCTACTTGGATTCTGAAAACATTGTGAACAAAGTCACAATGGACATTTCCACTTTATTCCCACAGCTTCCCTGAACTTTTCTCATCTAGTATGAGGCCTGACTGTTCCTACTTGTAATATCTAATTATGAATAGTATTGATAATATATGACACTAGAGGCCCGGTGCACAAAAATTTGTGCACTCGGGGGGGTGGGGAGGGGGGTCCCCAGCCCAGCCTGTGCCCTCTCCCAGTCTGGGACCCCTCGGGAGATAATGACCTGCTGGCTTAGGCCTGCTCCCGGGTGGCAGAGGGCAGGCCCAATCCCTAAGTGCAGCCCCTGGTCAGGCTCAGAGCAGGGCCGATTGGGGAGTTGGGGCGCCGCCCCGTCATGCACAGAGCAGGGCGGATCGGGAGGTTGCAATGCCACCCCCAGTCACGCTCAGGGTAGGGCCGTTTGGGGGGTTGGGGCACCGCCCCCTGTCACACTCAAGGCAGGGTCGATGGGGAGGTTGCGGCGCCACCCCCTGTCACACACAGAGCAGGGCCCATCAGGGGG